AAATTTCTTCAGATGATTCAGTGGAGCAGGAAAGTGCTACTCCCCAACCTTCCTCAAGCAACAGCCAAGTAAACATTTTATCATATGTCACAATTGCACGATAAAAACACGTGAGGAAAGTATTCGGTGACGACGAGAGCAATAATTCTACAGAAAACAATCAGGAAAAATTACCTCTTCCCAATAATCAGATTGCTCTTGGCAAAATCTGCTTCATCTGTACGAACAAGATTAGCCTAATATCAAAAGAAATCAAATGGTATGGATCTGAAAGAACCTACCATAATAGGTGCCTTATTAAACTAACACCATCAACTGATACATCTTGTTCACAAATTTATTATTGTAAAACCTGCTCAGCCAAACCAAATATTTCTTGAAATCATTATTACATCAGTTAAATAAATTGAAGTCCTGGTAGGAAACGGCCAATGACTGTGGATTTTGTATTCTTGGAAAATTATATAAAATTCTGGGTTCAAATAGAAGTAGGGCACTATTTGGTTCACTCTTCTCCTACTTATATTCTTCAGAATAATTGTTTGACAACAGTATCCTACATAATGTCCATATTTATTCTTTTAAAACAGATAAACTACGAGACAGGCCTTAAGTGACCATATAGATCTATTGCGATTGTGGTATCGCCAACAGCATATGCAGGAATAACTTCAGTGAAAAATCCTATTTAATGGTTAGATATTTGTTCATTTATAACATGCTTATAATGAAGAAGAAATAAAAAGATTAAAATGGTATTGATTTAGAGTTTTATTTATTACCCATAGGTCTAAGAACATACAAATGAAAAATTACTAATAAGTCAGCAAAAAATTAATCATCATACAAAATATACTTTTATAGTCTTTAATGCGGAACAGTTCTTAAACCAGCAAGGTATGATGCCTTTATCAAGTTAGTATCAGTATTAACAAGTAGAAGAAGACGTCAGACATCGTTTCATAATTCAGTTTCCTTATACCAAATCAGAAATAATAATTACAACACCCACAACGAACCTGTAATGCCAAGTGAAAGTGAAAGACAATCCTTTTAAAGACCCACAGGTTAAAATTGAAACACCTTCTGTTTACCAATTGTACTATCTGGGGATTCCTAGGTGAAATTCCTGAAGTGTTTTATTGTTTTATTACCTCAGAATTATAAATTCCAATGTAATGGAAAAACAAAGATGTCAGGTAGTTTATTAATTAATTAATGATCATACAAAATATACTTTTATAGTCTTTAATGCGGAGCAGTTCTTAAACCAGCAAGGTATGATGCCTTTATCAAGTTAGTATCAGTATTAACAAGTAGAAGAAGACGTCAGACATTGTTTCATAATTCAGTTTCCTTATACCAAATCAGAAATAATAATTACAACACCCACAACGAACCTGTAATGCCAAGTGAAATTAAAAGACTATCCTTTTAAAGACCCACAGGTTAAAATTGAAACACCTTTTGTTTACCAATTGTACTATCTAGGGATTGCTAGGTGAAATTCCTGAAGTGTTTTATTGTTTTATTACCTCAGAATTATAAATTCCAATGTAATAGAAAAACAAAGATGTCAGGTCGTTTATTAATTAATTAATTATCANGATAATTTGATTTACATCAAGGCTTCGAATTTATGTCCACTCAATTTGTGAAATTAATACTTCATATCATTTAATACTGTATTGTCATATAGATTGGACATGCTCATTATTCAGGTCAATTAGAATATCAAATAAACCACGAGCAACATTGTTCCGCTTCATTTCAATCAGTTCATGTGAAAAAAACTTTGCACATAAAACAATGTCTTTTCCACGGTTGAATGGAGACATATCGATTCCGGAATTTTTCCGAGGGAAAAGTATTTTTATCACAGGTGGAAGTGGTTTCATAGGTAGAGTGCTGATTGAGAAATTGCTGAGATCTTGTCCGGATTTGAAAAATATTTATATGATTCTCAGACCTAAAAAGGGTAGGAGTATAGAAGAAAGAATAAGCGACTTGACTGAAGTTTCTGTGAGTATAATATATTTTCTGAACTTAATTCGAATGAGTTGTTTCTGGTTGAAGTTATTGAGAAGCTGTTTAGATGACTCTTTGTATCTGAGACAAACGTGGATGATTCAAACGTTTTTATGTCATCCCGAACTCTAATTACTGTATCTAGGAGAGATAAATACGTATAAAAGAAATTAATATCTCAAAATCACATGATAACCGCGGCTTCTTTCAGGTGCACTTCAGTGTTCGGGTTTTCCCAAATGTTCGAGTCCAATTTCAAAACAATTCTTTAAGAAAAATGTTTCGAGAATGTATTCAATATTCACATAAATTTACATGCTGTCGACAGAAGCAAAGTAGATCTGCTTATGCAGATGACCTTGTCATCTTGGCTAGGTCCACGTCAGGAAGGGAAGCTTGTAAATTCCTCCAAAACACACTGGACGATGTTCACAGTTTGTGCCTGAGGAAGCAGAGAAAATTGGATGATCTAACGCCACTTTTCCTCAATGGCGAGGTCATTCCTTTTGAAACGGAGGTGAAATATTTTGGTATTGTCCTTGATAAAAACTCATCTAGAACGCTCACTAGAACAAAGTTTCACACAAAGCCAGACTGTCCCTATGGACATGTTGAAGGATTTGTGGTGAAATTTGGGGTTTAGGCCCCAAACAAATCCATTGTATTTATATGATAATTGTCAGACCAATGATCACTTATGGTGCAATTGCTTGGTGGTCGAAAGCTTCACAGAAAACGGCACAAGCGAAGCTCTCTGGCTTACAGAGACAGGCTTGTCTGGCTATCAGTGGTGCCATCAGTATCACACCGTCAGCAGCCATGGAGATCCTTCTAGTTCTACCTCCTCTCCACATTTTTCAGGAGAAAGAGGCTAGATGGACTGCTTATAAACTTGTGCACATTTCTAACTGCACAAATCAATTTAATGCAGACTGTTGGTTGACACTGGAAGTCACAGCACTCTGGAAATGACCTCTGACTTTATGTCTCCAACTGTCAACTACGAATTGCTCTATAAAGTACTATTTTTGAGTAGAGAGGACTGGATCCCCCGGGAGAAGGAAATATCAAGAGCAGATAGTTGTTGTTTCACAGATGGATCAAAAACACCTTCCGTTTCTGGGCCAGGCTTTTTCAGTCGCAGACCCAGGACAGAGATATCAATCTGCCTAGGAACCTATGTACGGAAGCGCAGAAGGGCCACATATTTTTATTATTTGTTTCTTGGAAATTACGACTTTCAATCTCGAAATTTCGACTTTAAAGTCGAAATTTCGAGTTTAAAGTCGAAATTTCGAGTTTAAAGTCGAAATTTCGAGATTAAAGTCGAAATTTCGAGTTTAAAGTCGAAATTTCGAGTTTAAAGTCGAAATTTCGAGATTAAAGTCGAAATTTCGAGTTTAAAGTCGAAATTTCGAGTTTAAAGTCGAAATTTCGAGATTAAAGTCGAAATTTCGAGTTTAAAGTCGAAATTTCGAGTTTAAAGTCGAAATTTCGAGTTTAAAGTCGAAATTTCGAGATTAAAGTCGAAATTTCGAGTTTAAAGTCGAAATTTCGAGTTTAAAGTCGAAATTTCGAGTTTAAAGTCGAAATTTCGAGTTTAAAGTCGAAATTTCGAGTTTAAAGTCGAAATTTCGAGATAAAAGTCGAAATTTCGAGATTGAAAGTCGTAATTTCCAAGAAACAAATAATAAAAATATGTGGCCCTTCTGCGCTTCCGTAACCTATGCGACTGTATTTCAAACGAAAATTAACGCTATCGAATTGTGTGCGGAGAGAATTGGAAGAATGCAACCTCATGCACAAGTCAATGAAAATATTCTAGTTAAGTCAGGCGGCGTTGGAAGTTCTTGGTTCCTGTCGAGCAACGTCTAAATTGGTAGCAAATTGCCAAAATAGACTCTCCCCGATAGAAAGACTTAACTGATTCCTGGTCATACTGGCCTGGAAGTCGAAGAGGCTACTGACTCCCTCACAAAGCAGGGTGCTGCAAGTAGTTTTATTGGACCAGAACCTGTCATTGGCATCGCTTTAGGCTTTGCCAAACACAGATTGAACACCTGGATGGCAAGAAGATTTATGGGCTTCTGGCAGAATCTTCCAGGAATGGTTCACTCCAAGGCATTTATTCACCCTCCGAAGCTGATACTAAATAGTTGTTGGACTACAGTAGGGATGAACTACGATGTCTAACAGACCTTCTTACAGGTCACTGTCATTTGAATCATCATATGCAGATACTTGGACTGTCGGAAGACAGTGTGTGTTGCCACTGTTTGGAAAATGATGAAATAGCAGAGCACATACTTTGTGCCTGCCCCGCTGGGGATTAAATCAGGTTTTTAGAGTTCGGCAGAGCCGAACCTGTGCGAAAGTAGTGATTCACATTGGATTTGAATCGCTGGAGATAAAATTCATTTGGAAAACGTTCTCAAGAAGTTTATTCCACATGAATGCAGTTCTCCTAATGAAATAGTTATTAAACAGAGGAGTTCGAAGATGAACAGACACAGTGCGTCGAAAATTCCTGATATGTACCGCTCTTGGTGGAATCAACTATGCCAAGTCACTTGTACACTTCCCGTGAAAGTATTTATGACAGAGAGACAAATCTCCAATCGTTCTACGGTGTTCCAGACTATCGAGGTTACAAGTGATGTTTGTGTATCCAATGGACTTGTTTCATGATTTTTGGTATATAGTTCACTTGATAGAAATTTTGAGTTGAAAAACAGTGCACTTCATTTCATATCTCTCAATACCGTAGTTTTCCCGTGATTAATTATTAAAAATCGAATTTGGTAGAGTAGTGACGTCACGGCCCTGATCCCGCTTCTTGTTTGATTGACCAATAGGAACAATAGAAATAATCAACATTGCCAAATCGTGAAATTTGCGGAGCCTATAATTATCAATTCAATTATGGAAGTGGATATGAACCCGTTAAAGTTTCAATTAATGAAAAATTCTCCACATGGAATAAAATGTACAAGATAAATCATGTTTGGAAATAAATTCTTTATCTAAAGTCAGTAAACAAAGTCGATAGATCAAGAAATATTTACCTAAACTATGATTTTATGTATTATTTGATAATATACAGTTATTAAAATCAAAAGATATAGCAAGCTGGATTAAAAAATAACACAACACAACAAAGTTTTTGTTTCGGGGTTGAAATTAGATGATTTTAATGTATTTCCACGTGTTAAAACCGAAAGTGACCATAAAAGTTATATATTAGCTCTTGTTTTCAAGATATAGTATCATTATATTATATATATGTATATTGAGTTTTCAACAAATGAAATATTCCATCACCAACAGTTGGTACACATGTTTGTTTACATAACACCCCTCTCATCAGCTGTTCTTAAGTAGTAAACATAACCTATGTGAGTTTGTCAATTGTACGC